TTTATTATTATTATTATTATTATTATTATTATTAGTATTATTATTATTATTATTATTATTATTATTATTATTATTATTATTATTATTATTACTACATAAAAAAATGATTTTTTTTTTATTTAATTCTGTTAAAAACGTTTTTGTTAAAAGCTTTAAATAATTTATTTTTGTCTAAAACCTCTTCTCGCATTTTTCCCCTTCCCCCTTGCTCCTTGCCCTCCCCCCGTTTCGGGAGAGAAAAAAAGAAATAAAAAATTTAGGCTCATTTCTCCATCATCATCATCATTATTATTTTTTTTTTATATGAAAATCAAATGATAGTAAAAATAATTAAATTATAAACATTGTCGTTGTGGATGGGGGGCGGATGAGGAGGAGGGGGCATTATGTAAACATTTAACCGCAAAAACATGACGATAGTTTTGTGTTATGTTGACAAATCGTAAAACCGATAATTGGTTTTCTAAAAACTATAAAAAAAAATTTTCTTTTGAAAAACTTTTAATCAATAAATCAATAAATATATAAATTTAATCTTTGATTTTTTTTTATTTCCAGAATTGAATTTGGTGTATGTTCGCTAATGTGAAAAAACGTGGCAGAAGAATTATATAATGATATTAAAAAAAATGTACGAATTTAAAATTCGAATGAGGAAACGTTAAATTTTTTATTGGGTGAGTTTTATTTATTTATTATTATTATTACTATTAAGTTATGATGACTTTCGATTGAGTTTTTATATTTTCGTATGAATTTTCCAAAATTCATTCCAGAATTTCCGTTCGATTAGGAATAAATTCTGGAATAACGTAATGAATCATTCGAAAGATTTCATATCCATTCGCTTGATTTTTTTTTAATTGTCCCTTCCCCCTCCCCCCCGGCTAAGGATTATGAGTTATTATTATTATTATTATTAACGATGGGAATTCGATACGAAATGATTCGCAAAACAAAAAATTTAAAAAAAATCTGGTGACACGTTTTTATGTTAAAACATGTTTTAAAAATATTTTGTGACGTAGTTTCAAGATGAATGACGACAATTCGTAATTGTATCAATTAGACAATCATTAATTATATTAAATCTACCCTCCCCCACTCACCCTCCCTCCCGGTTTTTTTTGCGTTTAATTTAAAACAAAAAAAAAAAAAGGAGTCTGGTGTCACGTCATATTGAATTAAAACTAATGAAAAATGATGGAAACGATGTTTACATGAATTCATATAATATACAAATACGTGTGGTTTTTATAACTTTTTTTTTTTTCTTCTTCGTTCGGTCGTATATAACTTCCCCTCCTTGATTTCGGTCAAAAACATTTTTTACTTTTCCATCTCTCTCTCTCTCTCTCTCTTTCTCTTTTTATTTTTTCGAGAATTTTCTTTCCCCCCTTTCCCTCCCGGAAAAATAAAAAAAAACAACGATTTTTTAGTTTCGATGATGATAATATGGAAAAGCTTTTTCTTCCCTCACTCTCCCCTTTCCCCCTTTCAAATATTTATTTATTTTAAATTAAATATAAAAAAATTTTTTTTAAAAATAATTTTTACCCTTACGTATCATCATTATCATCATTTACAACCCCTACGGTTTATTATTTAAATGTTATACTTACGATAGTTTAAAAAAAAAAAAAATTTTTTTATTTTATAAATGAACTTTTTATAATAAAATAAAAACAACCCTTAATAATAATAATAATCCGAGACTACCACTTTGTTACCAACCCTTTTTTTGAATTATGCAAAACGTTATTATTATTATTATTATTAATTTTAAAAGGGTTAGGGTTTCTCTTATATATATATAATTTTTTTATATATAAAAACATTATGTGGAAAAAATTATTTTAAACGTTTCAAATTATTATTATTATTATTATTATTATTATTATTATTATTATTATTATTATTATTATTATTATCGTAACGTAAAAAGGGTTGTGAGAGTAAATTAATATTAAATAATAATAATAATAAAGAATAAGTTTAATTGTTTATATATTAAATAATATTCCGCCATATTTAAAAATTTTTATCGATTGTTTGTTTATTACAATTCGTATTAAACGAGTCGTTTGATTTTAAAAAAAAATTCTGGAAAAAAGGTTAACAAGGAAAAAAAATGGAAAAGGAAAGAAAGGAAAAAGGAAAAAAAAGGAAAAAAAGGAAAGGAAAATGAATTAAATCATAAATTCACTGTTAAAATAAATTTTATGTTTTATTTGAAAGGCGTTTTGTTACGTAGAAAATTGCCTTGTAAAACAAGTTCACAAAAGATTTTTATTGTTGTCGAATGAGTCCCCCCATAACAATCTTATTATTTTACATGCGATATAATCGTTGAGCTTACGGAAAATCAACTCGAATAAGAGGAAAAAAAAAAAATAAAAAAAAAAAACGCAAGCGTTAGAGAATGAACCCAGTTTAAAAAACATCAAAAAAGAAAACAAAAAGAAGTGGAAGAAGATGAAGAGAAAGAGAAAGAAAAATATATATAAGGATATGAAAAGGGAAGAAACAAAAAAAAAAAAAACGTGGAAGGAGAATAAAATATAAAAAGGAAAAAAAAAATCAAGTCGAAAAAGGGAATGTTAAATTTTAAATAAACAATGAACGTAGTCGTCTTCGTTTAACTTTCGAACGGATACATTTTCTTATAATTTTTTTTTTATTTTCATTTTTTTTTCTTTCGATAAAAAAGGAAAATGTTATTGTAATTTCGCTCATGTTTAGATTATGGAAACGTTTCACAATCGGGAGAATAGTAAGAAACGGTAATTTAGTAGAGGTGGGAGGAACGTCGAAACGTTTTCCGGTAGGGAACCAATGAGAAAACGTTTTAACGAAGGGGAAAAATTTTATTCGGCCAATGAGAAATCGGATATTATTTAAAAATATAATCAAAACGTCATCAATCCTCGTTTCGGAATGAGATGCACATGGGGGGAATTGTGAGAGAGAGAGAGAGAGAGAGAAAACAAGAAGAAGAAGAGCATTGTGTTATTATTATTATTATTATTTTATTTTACTTTTTTTTCTATTTTTTTTTTTTTTTCATTGTTGTTGGATACCTGCGGCCACCTTAACGCGTACTAAGGTTTGACACCGATTTTAAACAATTAATTCGTCGAGAAATTTCGAACGGAACGGACGAAAATAATAATAGTTATCGTTACGATAGTGGTAATAATAATAATAATAATAATAATAAACGGAATTTGTGCGAGATTCGAACGCGTGTGTGTTGTTAAAAGTGATTTTTTTTTTTTTTTTGAATATAATAAAAGGTAAAAAAAAATGAACCATCGGTGGTGATTTATTTATTTATTTATTTTTTTGGATTTGTAATCGTCGTCGAAGTTGCATAGCATATACATAAATCGGTCGCGGAAAAAAGAGAGAGAGAGAGAGAGAGAAACTTGACGTGATTAAACAATTAAAGTGTAAGTGTTGTGTCTATGAATTATTATTTTATTTTTATTAAAAAGGAATAAATATCGAACGGCACGCTGGCAATTCACGGCGTGGAACTGTTTCCGGTAAGAGGACTGGCGTCCCCTGGCGGTACGGCTGGTTCCCCGGGTCGAACGCTGTCGCCCGACGTGGCCACGGACGATTCAACATCGTCCTTATCATCGACAAGTCCGAGAGCGGCATCACCTCATCAGAACATGTTGGATTTTACGACAAATCCAAATCCGACATTGCCCTCACCGAGCATGTTGTCGTTTTTGAATCTCAACATGGAATCCGCCGCAAGGAACACTTCTTCCGGTTTAGTACTCGGTAGTCCGCCATTAGCGGCCCTACATTCAATGACAGAAATGAAAAGTCAAGCGTTATTACATTCACAGGTTGGTTACATTGATGATAATGATAATAATAATAAATTCACCGCCGCCGCTCGCCCGTGAAAATCCGCCCGGAAAATTTAAAATTTTCCCGTCGCTCGTTTAAAATTTCACTTTTTTTTTTCTTCCCATCGGCGAAATTATTTATTTTTCATTTTATCACGCGGATGATAATAATAATAATAATAATAATAAAATAACCGTTTTTACGATTTTTGCTGCGGTCAACTCCAAAACAACAACAACAACAACAACAACCTAAAACTTTTCACTTTCGCTTTTTCATTCACGCCCCTTAATTTAACGCCGAAAACTTATTCGAATTAAAAACTTTCAAGTAAATAATAATGATGATAATAATAATGATAATATTGGGTGTAAAGAATTTTGCCGCCGGTAAAAGGACACCGTCAATAAAATAAATTTATCGTTTGCGTCGTGTACGCAAATCGTAAATGATTTTTTTTTTTTGTTTTATTGACACGATCCGTCGGCAAAACGTTCGGGAGTTTAAAAGAAAAAAAAAATGAATCGTGCGAACGGGTACCAAAAATCGATTGTTCGTTTAATAAATTGATTGAGGAGTTGTGCTTCATCGGTTATTGACACGACAAAAAACCGGCGGCCCCCTCGAAAATCACATTCATTCAAAGCAAACGATCGATTTGATGGGAGATGGCAAAAAAAAATAAAAAAAGAATTTTTGCGGTCCGCAAGTGTAGTAATAATAATAATAATAATAATAGTTCTGTTGTAATAATAATAATAATTTTTTTTTTAAATTGCTGACGCCATATTAATTTTAAAAAAAAAAAGAAAAAACGTTCGGGGAAATATTTTGTTATTTAATTGATATTTCCCATTCTCACGTAATTTTTTATAAGAGGATTCAATCACTGAATGATTGGAATGTTTTAATTTCATTTCGTTTTAACTATTTGCTTTCCATGGAGCAGCGGAGGTGACACGACGGACTAAAATTATTATTATTATTATTATTATTATTATTTTAAATCATTTCATTTCAGAGTCCTAGTTACGGTTCGTCAAATAATCACGTAGGTAGTCCCGGAAGTGGGAAAGCTAGTCCAACGAGTTCCGCCGGTTCGAGCGGCGGCGGAGGCTCACACAATCCTCACGGAATAGACAACATATTGTCGAGACCGGCTCCAGTCACGGCATCGTCATTACCCAGAGCTTTCAATATGGCAGCAGCAGCTGCCGGAATGGCAGCCGCTAGTTATTTTCATCATCATTCTGCGGCGGCCGCAGCCGCTAACAAACACCATCACCTAACGGCCGAACTAACGTCGAGAGGAAGCATATACTGGCCAGGATTGCCAGCCCTAGTCTCAAATCCCATTGCCTGGAGGGAACGGATTTCAAATAGTGAGTTTTTTATTTTAAATTTATCTATTTCGTGAAAAATCGGAAAATCGTCAAAAGAGAGAGAGAGAGAGAGATAGAGAGATAGGAAAAGAAAAGTTTAAAAAAGTTGACAATATTGGAAAAAAAATGTTGGTCGACTAATTAGCAGATACTTAAATAACCGTTACTAAAGTTTAATATATCGGTTTTCTGGAATATTTTTTTACGCCCCCTTTTCTTTCTCTCTCTCTCTCTCTCTCTCTAATTTTCATTCGAATCGTATTGTGTGAGGAGAGAGAGAAAGAGAGAGAGAGAGATATTGTAATTTAACAAGCTGCCGCCCAAGAAAATATTGCTTAAAATTTTGTATTGACCCCAACCGAGTTTTTTTTTTCTTTCTACCCCTCGGTCCTCGTGATGAGTGGTGAGGGTTTTCAAAAGGGGGCTGATGATAACAAATCCGAAATGATGCTCGGAGGCTGCGTCATCTGGCATCTTACATTTCTCCATCGAAATCCGCCTTTTTTTTTTTTTTTTCGAATTTATTGTTATCATATTTTTTTTTTTTTTTTTAAATTAGCAGACGAGAAAATTCTAAACGTTTCGTGATAACGTATAATGTTATCAACTACACCCCCTTCGTGTGGCGTGTGCGCGTGCGTGTGGTATTAAAATGATTCAATGGCGGTCGATAGAGTTGATGATGATGATGATGATGATAAAAATCAATAAATTAATCGATAATGATACGAATGAGAAAGGATTATTTATAAGGATTGACGATCTGGCGCGTTTAAGAACTGAAAATAGGTTCAGGTGTTGGATAAGCAGAAGAATAATTTATTGTCGTAAAGGGAGGGGCTCAAACATAAAAGCTGTTTATTTTATTTTCTTTTCATTATTTACTTATTATTATTATTATTATTTTTTACAAACCATCGCGTAGGGGTTTATTATTAAAAGAGACAAAAAAAAAAAATTTTTTTTTTTTTTTTTACGGGGGGATATTTATTTAATAATAATAATAATGATGATTAATAATCGAATAGAGCGAAAGAATCAATTTCGGAATGAAAAAAAAAAAAAAAAATGGCGGTCGGATTTTCGTTTTAAATATTTATTTTTCATTTAAAATTATATTAATGAGACCTTGCGATTGTAAAAAATCGTGGCATTAGGTTAAATAAAAAAATAAAGGTGTTAGTGGGGGAGGGGGGAAATGTTGATGATAATAATAATAATAATAATGACTGGACTTCATTTGCACATTTTTTTTCTTTTTTTTTTTTTCATTACTTTTTGTTTTTTAAATATTCCAGTCGGTTTTTTTTTGCTCCAGTACGTGCAGATAATGTAAAGATTATCCAGAGAGGGCAATAAATCAGGCTAGTTAAAAAAAAGAAAAAAGTTTGCAAAAAAGCAAAGCATAATTCTATATATATATATATAAATACCACCGCGAGAAAAAAAAAGTTTAAAAAAAAAAAACAACGAAAAAGGTTTTCTATTGCCACGATCTAATAAAAACTACATAAAAAAAATGGGAAAAACGGGTAAAAAAAAAATTATTTTAAAAGAATTTTATTAGCAAAAACACGAGAGCGGGGAATTTTCGAGGTTTTTTTTTTTTTTTTTCAAGATGGCGTGAGGGAAAAGGGCGGTTGGTCGGTCTGACATTATATCCACAATTTGTCCGCAAAAAAGTTATTTATATCGTGATGGTGATGGTGATGGTGGTGGTGGTTATGACGGGGAGGAGGTTGTAAACCGCTACAAAAAAATTTTTTTTTTTCCGAACCGTGGAAAAACGGGAAAAAAACGGGAAAAATCGAAATTGTCATCATAACGGAAACGAATTAATTTTGATTTCGTGTAAATAGATCACGCACGTGTAAATAGTCAATTTTATTTTTTTCCAAAATGTAAAAACAAACAAAGTTTTTCTCGAATATAATAACATGGTTGTCGACGCGTTTGTTTTGTTTTCACAAAAAAAAAAAAAAAAAAAAAATAAGAAAAGTCATTTTATTCCGACGTGTCACGTGTCGCAAATTACTTGGTCAAATAAATCTCAAATGAACCTTAACGGCAAGGGAATTATTACATGTTGACATTGAAAACGTGGCACTAACACTCTTTCTCTTTCCTTTTTTTTTCTTTTCGCTCGAGTAAAAATTTATCCGAAAGGAAAACGTGTAAATACATTTTCTTCTTCTCATTTTTTTAGCTTTTGAAGGTCTCCCTCCTCTTCCCCCCAACCCGCCCCCCGCGATAATGATAAATTTAATTTTTTATTATTTATATTTTTAAACAATAAAAATGAAAATTAAAATTAATTATACTCCATTAAAGACTTTGTTGTTTGTACGAGTAGAAAAGAAACAAGGAAGCTAATTGATATTGTAATTCGATAACAAAGATTTGTTACCAACCTTAAAATCATTCATCTCTCATAATAATAATAATAATAATAATATACGTAATTAAGGTGGTAGGCAAAGGTACCCAACGTCGATTCGAATCATCATCATCATCATCATCATCATTTACTTTTATTTATTTATTTATTTTTTTTTTTCGAATAGGTGGTATTCGTGGTGGTGGGTTAAAAATGATTTACTTATTTTTATGTTCATCATCATTATTATTATTATTATTATTATTATTATTGTTAAAAAAAAATTTTTTGGATTCGTTTGTTGAAAAACCTTCAACTTGTCGAATGCATGAGAGAGATAGAGAGAGAAACAATAAAAATGCTGAGTAAATAAGAGTAGGAAACTTGTCAGTCAGTGTTTTCTTTTCTTATAACTGAAGGAATGAAAAGGTGAGAGAGAGAGAGAGAGAGAAAATTCTTTTGTGTTGGCATTATGTTTAATAAAATATTATTATTATTATTGTTGTTGTTGTTGTTGTTGTTGTTGTTGTGTAATAATATCGTAGACGGTTGTAAACGGCAAAGAATTTTTTTTTTTCTTTTCCTCCTCTTGTGACGGCAATGGCGGCGGTCGGCGAAAAACGTGGTTGTAAGAACGAGAGAAAAAGTTTTTGAATTTTATTATTATTATTATTATTATTATTATTATTTGTAGTCTTTTGTCGACCCCTCTTCCTCCACCCACGAAATAATCAAAAGCATTCTTATTTTATCATTTACCGTTATCAATTATTTCGGGGAGGAGGGCTGGGGGTGTGAGATAACGAATTTTAATTATTCTATGGATTTTTTTTTTGATTGATTTGATAGTTTCCGGTTTTTCGAAATTTTTTCTCTATCATTTTTGCCGCCGTTTTTATTTGACGCGTTTGGGGAGGAGGGGGGGGGGAATTAATTAATTCGATTTCGATTTTAAATTCAATGGTTACGTCAAAACAGAATTTAATTTAAATAATAATAATTACAACAACAAAAAATGTTTATATCTCATTAAACTTGAATGTTTATAAAAAAGAAAAAATTTCGTATAACGATTATTATTATTATTATCATAATCATTATTATTATCGCCGCCGGTAACGATTCAAAAAAAAAAGTAAAAGGTATTATTAGTGTAAATGGTAATATTATAATGAAAAAATAATTGGTAATATTGGTTAATATTAAATGATGTTTAAGTTGGCAATCGTGAATCTGAAGAGTTAAATTTGGTAATAAAAAATAATTATATCGTGTAAAAATGGCGGATGAATTTTTATTTTTATTTTATGTCTTGGCGAATCGAAATGAAATTTTATTTTATATTTAAAAAAAAAAAACGATGATGATGATGATGATGATACAGTAATTAAATTTTTTTTTCTCTCGGTTTTTCCTGTTGTTGTTGCTTCTGTTGCTGCTGTTGTTGTTCTTCCTTCTCTCGTATAACTTTTTTTAAAATTTTTTCAGTTTATTTATTATTATTATTATCATTATTATTAATATTATTATTATTGTTGTTATTATTTTACGTTCGTTAAAAACGTTAATTAAAACCACGATTAAATTTTTTAAAGTCGTGGAATTAACTCGGTTTTATATATACATATTTATTTCGAAATTATTATTAACGTTCGTCATATACCGGATGTGACGTAAAAACGCGCGCGAAAATTTTTTTTTTTAAATTCATTTTCCGAATACATTTTGTTTACAAACGTAAAGAAAAATTTTTGTTGTGTCCGTTGTGTGCTTTTCGAAATTAATTATCATCATCATCATCATCATCGCCGTTGCCGTTAATTAAATTAAAATTATTATTATTATTATTATTTAAGTGGGATTTATTCATGAATCATACGAAATAGGTATCGTACCTGACAGGTGAGTGCATGCGAGAGGTAATCAACCACACACACTTTTTTCTTTTTCTTTTTTTATTTTAAATAAATCGTTAAACTGTGCAAAAAAAAAAAAAATCATTCGTTAAAAATTCATAATGTCGAATTATCATTATTATTATCATTATCATTAATCGTTTTATTATTATTATTATTATTATTATTATTATTATTATTATTAATTTTAACTTTGCGTCGAGTCATTTATTATTATTTATCACATTATGATATGTGTTAGAAAAAGAGAGTTATTTATTCCTCATCATCATCATCATCATCATCATCATCATCATTATTATTATAATCAATTTAAAAATAATGATAATGATAATAATAATTTTGCTACTACTGTAAAGTCGTAAGAGTGGAGGTCGAAAAAACAAAAAAGAAAAGGAAAAACGGTCGTATCGAATGAGAGAAAGAGAGAGAGAGAGAGAGAAAAGAAAATGATTTTTAACTGAATTTTTTTCTTTTTTTCGGTTGGCAACAATGACTAGTGCGTTATGTCGAAAACGCGAGGCTCTTGAAAAAAAAATAATTTTTTTATTATAATTATTTTACGATTGTAAATACGATTGATTTTTTCATTATTATTATTATTATTATTATTATTATTATTATTATTATTATTATTATTATTATTATTATTATTATTATTATTCTGCTCCGTCGTCGTCGTCTTCGTCTTCGTCGTCTGCTTTTAATAAATGAATATAAATCACGGAAAATTTGATTTTGTTATTAATGCTCCGCTTTCAATTGTTTGTTCGTTTAAACAATTCAATAATAAATGCGGGATTCGTGTCGAGAGGAAAAAGTTGAGAAGGGCGGGGCCCCGAGAGAAAGAGAAAGAAAGAGAAACGAAAAGAGAAAGAGAGAGAGAGATAGATAATAAATTTCAAACACTTAATACAATTTATTTTTTATTATCATCATTATCATTAGGAAAATTTGAAGTATAAATAATAATAAAAAAAAAAAGTTTTGTAATAATAATAATAATAACGAAAGTAAAAAAAAAAGAAATTTCTTTCTCCCCTCCCCCTTTTTCAAATAAATTAATAAGTATCGAAATAGATTGAAAGAGGAAGAGAGATAGAGAGAGGGGGAAGTAAATACATTGGAAAAAAAGAGAAAAAATATGTATGGAAAGAAAAAGGCAATAACTAATAAGAGAGTGTTTGATCTGCAAGTCAATATGGGTGACCATCTGTTGTGTATATATTTTCATTTTTAAAATGACACAATATATTGTTAATATTATCAATACTACCAACTTAAACGACGTAAAAAAAAAAAATTTTTTTATCGTTATACGATAATAATTTTAATAAGAATTATTATTAAAAATGATAATGATAATGATGATAAAAATTTATTAAGTGTTTTATTATTAAATTAAATTTAATATTAAACTGATAAGGTGATAGAAATGATTAAATCTCTCATCCGCCATTTTGTTTTTGTTTTTGTTTCATCACGAACGCAATAGAAAAACGTTTGATGAGGGCGTTTCAGGTCTACCACCATCAACCGCCAAAAAAAACGCGTGTCGGAAAAAGGGAAATGGGGGAAAGGAGTAGGAGTAGACGATCCGATAGGGATTTTTTTTTTTAAATATAAAGTTGGCAGCACTTCTTGTTTGTTAGTTCTAAAATATGATTTGTTTTACAAAACGGATTGATAATTTCACCTGGCGTTTGTTTTCTATTTATCTATCCATTATCATCATCATCATCATCGTCGTCATTTCCGTCGGGATTTTGTCATTCGTAATTAATAAACAGAGAGGGAGGGAGGAAAGGAGGGGTGAGGGAGAGATTATATCGAAAATTACATTCCAATATTTCAATAATAATATTTTGAATTTGTGAAAATTAATATCAAATTGTTAGTTAACGAATATTATTATTATTATTATTATTATTATTGGACACCATACCACAATTTACCTGAGCTTATCAACCTTTTATCAATCTCGTTATTGATAATATATAAAACGATATGGAATCCTGAAACGGGGAATAGGAAAAGGAAAAAGAGGGAAAAGTATTTATATATATATATACGGTCATGACGGTAGAAAATAATAAGGGATAGAAAGAGAAAAAATAGGGGTGAAATGATACGTGCGTGTGAGAGAGAGAGATAGAGATAATTTCAATTTGTTTCATTCCTATTGAAAGCTTAACGATTCAAATCAATTTTCTATTGATTTATGTTGTTGTACATATTTACGAAAAATTTTTTAATTATTATTATTATTTCGCAATTAAAAAATTCCGCCATTTTTATTTTTGAAAAAAAAAGTTTATGACGTCATACTCGAAAGGGTAGGTTTCAAAATTTTCATAACGTATCTCTCTCATTCAATCGAAACTTTCGTCGGCCATTTTTAATTTTTTTTTTTTTTCGGGGGTGGCAAGGGGGTTTTATACACATGAATTCTTTACGAAAATTTTATAGAGTTATGTCGTCCTTTTCGATGAGAAAAAAAACAAGAAAATTTTCTTTTTCGAAAATGAAGGATCGGGAGGTGGGGGGGAGGAGAAACGGGAAAGACATGGAAGGAAGAACAATGGGCGGAACGAACGCACAACTACGTGATGAAGCATTTATTTAATAGATTTTTTTTTTTTACCAGACGACGTGATTTTTTTTTTTCTTTTTACAATATATTCGTTTGGAGAATTATTTCGGGTATTTTTGTCAAAGGAAGGTTTTCAAAGGAAGTAATAAACAGGAATTATAATATAATTATCGAAGGATTTCACGAGAACGTGTCAAATTGTTTTTAAAAAAAAAAAAATTTAAACCGAACGTTTTGATTTTTTTACGGGGGAGTTTGACGTACGACGTTGCCAAATCGTGTACGAAGTGAGTAAAAAAAGTAAAATTGTTTTTGTTTTTGTTTTAGTGAATCCTAGTTTATCATTAATTGATAAAGATGGTAAAAAAAAACACACGAGACCAACGTTCAGCGGTCAACAAATATTCGCATTAGAAAAAACGTTCGAACAAACAAAATATTTGGCCGGTCCCGAACGAGCGAAATTAGCTTACGCACTCGGAATGACAGAATCACAAGTTAAGGTAAGTCACTAATTTTATTATTATTATTATTATTGAAATTTCCCCGTCGTGGGAAAATCGTATTTTTACCTAAAAAGAAAATTACCAAACTCGCGTTCGTTTGTTCGTGGCAGAAGATTTCCCTTTCGACGTAAAAACGAGGAGTGGGAGTATGGCGAAATGAGATTTTTATCCGATTGCACGCATTAATATACAGTTGTCGATACGGGATTTTTTTTTTTTCATTTTTCAATTACATGCAAAATTAAGTGGAGACAAGATTTAGTGACACGATAGACTCCCTCTCTCTCTTTCTCTCATCCCCAAGGGTGTAAAAGGTTTAAGATTATAAAGCCTTACATAAATTTCTAAATCGTATCTTCGTTTGTAACTGTAATGATGGAGAAGTTTGGACACGTGTCTCGACACGTTTTTTTTTTTGCTCATCGCCCTCCGCCCCCCCCCCCCGCGGGATTACTTCCTTAGCATAGGATTTGTTGTGTGTGTGTGTATGTGTGGTTGTTTGAATGAAAAGCGGATGGTCACGACGACGATGACGACGTCGACGATGCATCATTTTATTATGCGAATTTAATGACTTTTTTGTTGTTATTCGCGTAAAGACACAAACGGGAAACACGGTTGCGTGATTATTATTATTATTATTATTATTATCATAAATTTTCATGTTCCTCGTTCGTGAACGAATTGTACGCATTGCTTCTCTTCGGCGTTATATGAATGCGTGCGTGCGTGGAAAGTTTTTCAACGGGGATTTCCCGATAAACAAATTGTTTTATGTTTGCGGTTTTAAAAAAAAAAAATTTTTCGTTCATTGTCCTTAACCGATCAATTACGTCCATCTCTTTTTTAAAGAGAGAGAGAAAGACAGACACAGAGACAGAGAGAGAGAGGATGAAAATCTGGTCGTTTGTTTTTCCTTTTTTTTATTGTCCTGTCTTTAAATTCCCCCCTCCCTCTCTCTTTTCATATCGAAACCAAAGAAGAGTATTATCATTTAAAAAAATGAAGCTTATGTTTTAAAAAAAAAAGGCACGCCATTGTATAAAAAGTTAATTTTCTTCCTCTTTGTTTAAAAAAAAAATAAGATTTGCCGTTTTCATGTATTTAAAATTTTCATGTGTATATAAAAAAACTAAGATGATAACGGTATCGTATGTGAATAATATGAGGGTAATGGTTTTTTTAAAAAAAAAATTATCATCACAACACGCGAGAGGGCTTGTTCAATATTATCTTCTTAATCCCCCAATTATATCAGGGTTGCCAACAGATGGCTCTACGACGATGACGTCGACAACGATGACGTCGACGTCGACGACGACGACGGTCACGACGACGATTTTTTTTTCTATATTATTTCTCCATGGGTCGTTGTTATTCTTGTGCCTTTTTTTAAAAAAAGGATTTTTCGAATTAAAAACGAACCTTTTTAAATTTTCTTTTTTTTTTTGTTCTAATACTTTTCGAATGTATAATTTTATTGTTTATAATTATCCCCTAATTTATTATTTTACTTTCCCAACCCCTCCTCCTCCCCATATTATTATTATTAAACGTTTTGTTTATTTTTTTTAAAGCTTAATACTTAAGAGAGATTTTAAACGTGTGTGCGCGTGGGGGAGGGGGATGCGTGCGTTGGGAGGGTGAGAGTGCGTGCGTAGGGGAGGGGGTACGTGCGTGGATCTGTGCGAAAAAGGTTGTTGTAAAAAAAAAAAAATTAATTGATTTTACGAACAGTTGGTCATTTTTATAAGTGATAGGCTGTCAATCACAAAAGGTTAAAAGGAAGGAAAAAAGGAAAATGGTGCGGAAAAGTCTTTTGTATATGTATATATAAATATGAGATGTGTGACAGGAAGTAGAAGAGAAAATAAAGGAAAATGTGGCATTTAAATTTGACGTTTGACGTTTGACGTTTTTTTTTTTTTTTGCCGCAGGGTAAAACCCGATTTATACTTTTGTCGTCGTCGTCCTTACACACACATGAATCCCCCTCCATATCGACGTCGTTTGTTGTTGTTGTTGTTTGTCGTCGACATGATAGTAGTAGTATTCTTACTAACTTTTAACGTTTTTCTCCCCGTTTTCATTTTTTGTTCCTTTTGTTATCTTTGTTCGATTCGTTTCCCTTCCACATAGAGATTCTTTTATCTTAATTAAAATTATTATTAAATTAGTTTATGTTTCATAATGTAATTTTAATCGAATGAAAACGATCGGAAAACGGGGATTCTTTCTCTCTCCCCCTTCGTATATTATTTTATTAATAAAAAAAAAATGTTTTTCTTCTTCCCCGACACTACAAACTTATTCTACTGCCACTTTTTTTTTTGTTGTTGTTGTCATTTAATACGTGTTTAATATTAAGTGAATGATATTATTAATTGAATTTTATTTTTAACGACGGTTTTTTCCATCGTTTTTCAAAATCCCCCATTTTAACTTTATTTAATTATTTATTTTAAAATTAAATGTTTTTCTCTCTCTCTCTCTTTCTCTTTCTTTCTTTCTCACTCTTGTTCGAAAATCAAATTTAGATGACATTACCGATGATAAAATCCCGTTGGGAAGTTTATTTCCGGGGATTTATGTGTTTGCGTCGAAACTCTGAAGAAAGTAAATTGGTAAGGGAATAAAAAGGAATCGAGAGAGAGAGAGAGAGAGAGAAAGAGAAAGAAAGAGGAAGAAGAAGACGTTTTGTTTTTTTTTTTTTTGTCGCTCGTTTTACAACATCCTTTTCCGGTTTTTTTTTTTTTTTTTCAAAAAATATTAAATTAATTGATGAGATTTTTTTTTTCGGGAGGGAAGGGGGAGGAAGTTCGCGTGTAATTATTGTAACAAGGCGGTGTTAAAAATGGCGGAGGTTTTGTTGGTGGTGGGGGGAAGAGAAAAACGGAAGTGGCGATAAAAAATATTAATAAAAATAAAATAATAAATTAAAATAATCGAGTGCATATGATCTATTCAATGATGAACACATTTTGCATAAAAATTAAATAATAATAATAATAATGATGATGATGATGATGATGATGATGATGATGATGGTGATTTTAAAATGTAAAATAACTTTTATTGGGCTTTGCCAAATTGTTTAATGAACCCATTAAAAATTTCATTTGATAACTGTTATAGATAATATAGAAATCCCGAACCTCTCTCTCTCTCTCTCTCTCTCTCTCATTCGAAACGGTTTTTCAACCCTCCGTTTTCATAAAACCTTTCCTCCCTTTTCTTCTCCTCTCTTTCTCTTCATCGTTACCCTCAACTCTCTCTCTCTCTCTCTCTTCCACTTTTTTTTTCCACGTCTCTTTTCCCCGGCTTTTTCCTCACCTTTATCAACCTTTTTTTTCCTACCCTTCTCCTCCTCTCCACCTTCTCCTCTTTCTCCCTTAAACCATTTCCTTTCTCATTTTTACATCCACGTTTTTCAAAACCAATTTTTTTCATTTTCTATTTATTTCCCAGTATTGAGTTTTTTTTTTTTTTTTTTTATTCTGTTAGCACAAATTGACTTTTTTTTTTTTTCGTGGGTTTTAATAATCTCTTTTGTCTTTTTCATTTTCATTTAATTTTTTCCAGTTTCCAGTTGGAGAATTTTTTTTTTTTGTTTTGTTTTGGTTATCAAAATCGAAATCGGTTCTTTTCGCGTGACTTTGGTTTCCCCCGCCCCCTTTCTTCCCCATCAATTTTTTTTTTTTTTTTTACAACCATCGATAAAATTTTGATTTTTTTCATTTTATTGGTTTTTGACTTGTTTTAAAATAAATAAATAAAAAAAATTTTTGATTTACCGATTCGTATAAATAAAAATCATTTTAAATCATTTTGAAAATTTTTTTTTCGTTATTCACTTACTCTATGAAAAAATTATTATCATTATTATTATTAGTTTAATCGAAGCGAATAATAATAATAATTTTATAAAATGAAATTAATATAAATCATTAATCTTTTTAATGTCACTCGTCGTTATTAATATTCACTCTCATTTGCCTTATTATTATTATTATTATCATCATCATCGCCGTCGTGATTATTTTCGTTATTAATCATTAATAATACCTGACTTCGTTTTCTCTTCCCCTCCCTTCCCCCCACACCCCCTTTTTGTTTCTCCGACGAATAATTTTTATTATTATTTATTTATTTATTTGGCAATTGTGTTATTAAAATCTTTCAATTATTGTGATTATTATTATAAGTTGATGTATTTTTCCGATGTTGTCTTTATGGCGCATCCTATTTTCTTTTGGTAATTTTTAAATTAATTATAATTAACGTCGAGTAAATAATAAAAACGAACCAATGAAATTTGTCGAAAATTCGCGGGCCAATAAATTTTGTCGTTAATTTTTTAATTAGCCAATCAGATTTGTTTTCGAACGTCGTCGTCGATATTTATTTGAGTGGATGGATGGGGGTGTAAGAGAGAGAGAGAGAGGAAAACGATAAGAAAACCGTTACGTTTTTAAAAGATTTTCCGAAAAAAAAACCGTTTTTTATCGTTATTATTATTATTATTATTTAAATTAATACCGTTTTATAATGTTTGGTCGGATTCTCCCTCGTAAACCGTCATTCTAATTAAAATTATTATTATTATTATTATTATTATTATTAACGTTAAAAAGAAAAGAAAAAAAGATCGGTTAAAAGTGTTAATCCATTTACCCCGTAAGCACAACAAGAAAAATTTTTTAATTACATTAAAAGCTATTCGAAACGGTCTCGGTTGAACCCTTTTTTTTTTTTTTTACATTTTTTTATAAACTTTATAAAAATGATAAAATGAAATGGAGGAAAAAGAAAATAATAATAATAATAAGGAAAAAGAACAAGGAAGAAAACACGAAGTAAAATGAAAAAAAAAAAAGGATGAGATTTGAGAGAATGAGGCAAAAAAAAGAAAAATTGTGGAAAATGAAATAAGAAATTTTCTTTTTTAATTTTCTCATCAACAACCGGTTGTTGTTTTAACAGGAGTTGAGAAATAACAACAACAACAACAACATCTTTGGCATTTCATCATCATCATCATCATCATCTCGAATTTTTTTTCAGTTTATTAATAATAATAATTTTTGTTGTTGTTTTCACGGTCCACGTGTGATAAACGTTTATCGCGATA